ATGGGGCTTCAGCGGGTGGAGCCACGCCGCGCGCCCCTCGCGAGCGACGCTCCCCTTGGCTCCTCTGCCGCCCCTTTTCGCGCGGCTGGCCTCCACCGCTGGGCCTCCCAGCAGGCCCGCGGCCAGCTCCAGACGCTCGCTGACGCCTGGGGCGAGGGGGCCCACAAGTCGGGGGCGACAGAAGTGCGGGCACGCACACGAATTCACGTTGGTTCCGAGAGTACGCATTGTGCGAACCTTCGTGTCACGCGGCCGGTCTCGCGGACTGGAGGGCCGTGCTCGTGTACGTGGGTGGGCGCGTACGTCCTTTGGGGAGCTCCCTGATAAGCTTCTCCCCCCGGTGGCCCGCGCGGTTGTGCGGCCACGCGCGTGGCCCGAGGCAGAGTGCCCGGAGCAGCTTGCCAGGGCGCCACCCAGTCCACAAGGGCGCCGCATGAGAGGCAACAGACCAGGCGGACCTCGGGCCTCTGCGCGACGCTCGAGACATCCTCGACATCAACGAGGATAAGGAGGAGGAGCAGCAGGAGGAGGAGGAGGAGGAGGAGGAGGGGGAGGAGGAGGAGGAGAAGGAGGAGGAGAGGAGGAGGAGGGAGGAGGAGGAGGAGGGAGGAGGAGGAGGGGAGGAGGAGGAGGAGGAGGAGAGGAGGAGGAGGAGGAGGAGGACCCCGCAGCGCAAGAAGGCATGCCTTTGCACCCGCCACGAGTGCCTGGATCAGCACGGACTCGTCCAGGTCGAACACCACGGAAGAGCAGAGGGGGGGCCTGTGCCGCACGGCCGCAGCTGGCCCAAGACCACCACCATCGCAGGCCTAGAGGTTGACACCAACACCAAGGTTGGCGGTGTTCCTCCACCGAGGGAAGACGATCCCAATCTCGGTGATGGTGGTAATATTCCGGCTTCCAAGGTGGCCGAAATATTACCACCAACACCGAAATCTAGGATCACCTCCCCCTTGTGGAGGCAGCCCTCTGTCTTGGTGTTGGTACGCATTTCCAGGCCTCCCACACCAGGTAGCTCTCCAGCGAAGTCGTCGGCTGCGGGATCCCCATCCTCCCCAGGCAGGAACACCGCCAGCTGCACGCCCACTGTAGCCTTGCCAAAGCCCTGTTCACTGGCCTCCCCTCCCTGACGCTGAGACCGCCTGAGGGGCAGGATAAAGTGAGGTTCTGCCTGGGGGTGGCCGTCGACCGCAGGTGGGCTCGATGAGTGGGGGGGAGGAGGGGAGGAAGCTCGAGGAGGCAGAGGAGGCGGGAGGAGATTGATGGACAGGAGGGGGAGCAGGAGGATGATTGCCGGTTTGATCTGAGCGGTCCTCTCCCCTTTTTGCCGCGTGCAGCCCAAGAGATGGGCCAATCGCAGTCCACACATGCGCAAACGGAGTCACGTGCACGAGTGAGGAGGAAGACCCACCCTGCCTATCCCCAGGCCTCCTCGTGGTAGAGGTCGAACGCGACTTCCCACCTCGCCAGGACCTGGGGTCGAGGGGCCGTCTCCGCCTCGTCCATCCGTTTCCTTGGGAGGAACTCCTTGTCGCACCCCCAGACGTGTCCGTAGGGCGGGCCAGGCGTTTCGCGTGAGACTTCCTCGCCATTCAGAGCTTCACATTTGCAACAGTTTCACTGACGGAGGGTGGGTGGTTTTCAAAGTGTGGTCCTCGCCTTGGCGTCGCGCACATTCGTTTCAATCATTTGCAACAGTTTCGCGAGTGGAAGGTGGGCGGTTTTCAACATGTAACTCTTGCTTTAGCGCTGCCCATTCATCTCAAAAGTGTGCAGCAGTTTCGCGAATGGATGGCGGTTCCTCTCGAAACTGTGGTTTTCACCTTAGCGCCGCGCGCATTCGTCTAAACACATTGCAGCAGTTTCAATGGTTCGTATGGTTGAAGTCTCGGACATCGTGCTCCAGACGATATAGCATTTACCGGGACGCGACAGTCACGTTGATTCCTTATGTTGAAGTATCAGGAATGGTTGCTTGATGTGATTTCGGATTGCCAGAACGCATCAGTCACGTTGACAAGACTGGTGCTTTAGCACGATGGAGGGTTCTCACACGGTTGTCTTCCATTGGGGCACTCCCCGCGATGCGCATAGCTTTTCTTAGGGGCCTATGAAAAGGGAACTTGGATGTGTGTTTGTGTGTGTGTGTGTATGATCGTAACGCCGTTGATGCGTCTTGGGTTCGCATTGCTCCATCCCCTCCTCGCTCCTCCTCCTCCTCCTGCTCCATCTCCTCCTCCTCCTCCTCCTCTCCCTCCTCCTCCTCCTCCTCCTCTTCCTCTTCCCCCTCCTCCTCCTCCTCCTCCTCCTCCTCCTCCTCCTCCCTCCTCCTCCCCCTTCAGGGAGGGGGAACGGAGCGGGGTGCCACCCGCTATGCGGCGACCCCCCCCCTCCCCCCCTCGCACGGCGATGGCAGGCGCAGGTGGCGCTGAAGGGCGAGCTGAAGAAGCTGGAGGCCATCCGCGAGGACCGCGGTCCGCCGCGCCCCCGCCGCCGCGGAGGGTCCGAGGGCTCGCGGGCCGAACGGGTCAGAGAGCGCTTCTCCTCCCCCCCTTCTCCGTTCCTTCCCTTCCTCCTCTTCCACCTCCTCCAGCTCCACGACTCTTGCTGTGCGCATCGACTCAGAGCTCCACTGCGATCTCCCGTCTTGTCTTGTCTCCTCTTCCTCTTTTTCCTCTTTCTCCTCCTCCTCCTGTCCTGCCTTGCCTTGCCGTGCCTTGTCTTGTCTCCTCCTCCCTCTCCTCCTGCTCCTCTTGTCTTGCCTTGTCTTGTCTCCTCCTCCTCCTCCTCCTCCTCGTCCTCCTTTGGCCTGGTGCATCGTTCTCGGCACACCTCGTCGTCATCCAGAGTCATCCAGAGTCTCCAGAGCCTCCTCCTCCTCCTCCTCCTCCTCCTTTCTCCTCCTCCTTCTCCTCGTCCCTTCCTTCCGCCGATCGCCACGCACGGCGATCCCAGCGCCGCGACCGTGCCAGTACCGCTGCGAGCGGAGGCGCCCGAACGTGCCACCAGGGGGCCGGCGTCCTCCTCCCCCTTCTTCGCCTCGTCGTCGTTCTCCTCCTCCTTGTCCTCGTCCTCCTCGTCCTCCTCCTCCTCCTCCTCCTCCTCCTCCTCCTCCTCCTCCTGCTCCTCCTCCTGCTCCTCCTCCTGCTCCTCCTCCTGCTCCTCCTCCTCCTCTCTCCCCCTCCTCCTCTATCCCCCTCCTCCTTCCTCGGAGGAGCGTGGGCAGCAGGACGGAGCGGGCATGAGCACCGCGAGGGCGCGCGGGGTGCCGAGGGAGCGGCGGAGGGAGGGGCAGTGATGACGAGGAGGGGGAGCACAGGAGGGAGGGGGAGCACAGGGGAGGGGGAGCAGGGGCAGTGATTGCGGGGAGGGGGGGCACAGAGGAGGAGCAGTGATGACGGGGAGGGGGAGGAGGGGGAGGGGGCGCAGTAATTACGAGGAGGAGGAGGAGGAGGAGGAGGAGGAGGAGGAGGAGGAGGAGGAGGAGGAGGAGGATGAGGAGGAGGAGGAGGAGGAGGAGGAGGGGGAGGGGGAGCACACAGGAGAGGAGGGGCAGTAATTACGAGGAGGGGGAGCACAGAGGAGGGGGAGCAGGGGCAGCGTTGGGATTAGCTCGGGCGTGTCCTCCTACAGGCGGATCTTGGATGAAACCACATTCAAAAAAATACCCAAACATACTCCAAAAAATACCCAAACATACTCCAAACCTCGTCCCGTCTCCAGACTAGTTTTGGACTATTTTGGAATATCCCCTGTAGAGAGACAGGGCCGACTTCACGTCAGCCTGTGGTGGTTGTGGGGGGGGCTGGCTCATCAGGCGATCGCAGACGTGGATCAGGGGGGCGTGTCTCAGCGACGGGTCCCGTTTCCATGGGAAGTCGCGGATTTCGGCCGCCGTGCGAGGCGGCAGCGGCCGCATCTTGGGGAGGGCACCTCCCCCGATCCATGGACTTGGCGACCGCGCGCAAAATCTATGGATCGCTCATCCATGTTTGCGCGCCCCCGAGCTCAGGAGGGAATGGATCGAACCCCAATTGCCCATTCGTCGCCAAGAGGGGCCTCGTGGCCCAACCCGCCCAGGAACTTGCGGATTCGCTTTGTAGTGCTCCCCGCCGATCCATCGGCCCCGGCTCGGGGAAGGCAGAGTGCAAAACGCTACTGCCGCATCGCGTTCGGCGATCGGGGGACCCCAGAGGGCATGCACCAGAGGTCGCTCTGGCGAAGGGTCACTCTTACGTGTAGTCGACTATTGTTAGACCACCTTCGCCTAAAGGGCTGATGGGAATGCATGCGCCCGGCGTCTTCCGAGCATGTTCTTTCGGTTGAGGGCAAAGGGTGAAATCTGAAATGCCGTTTCGATGGGTGTTCGAGGCTTGAATCTGCCTCAGGTGAATCACAAGACGGATTGGTTTTCGAGGTGCAACAGCCCATATTGATTCCACCCTGAGCCCTCCACCCTAAGAGCATGCTCAGGTCTTGAGCAATCGTAGATTCCGTTCGATACTGTCTGTCGAACGCGGCTGCCATTCTCGGGGCGACGAGCCGGCTGGCGGGACGGGGTGGACAGTCCTCGTGGCCGCGTGCTGCACAAGCACGAACACGGCATCGGAGGTCTTTGGGCCTGGAGTTTCTTCGCTTTTGCTACCAAGCCGTGCCGGTTCACTCCAAGCACCCGCTCGCTTCGGGGGCCCCCAAACGGTGTAGTGACCACCCGTGCGGTGAGTCGGTGGGGATTCGGGGTCACCGCACGGTTTTGGGACTCGGGTCGTTCTCCGAGGTCGTCTCGGGCGACAGGGGCCTCCGAGGTCCCAAAACGCGTTGACGGACCGTGCGATGAGGTCTTGGGGGATTTCGAGGTCACCGCACTGTCTGTCACCACACCGTTTCGGGACTCCAAATCTCTGTTGAGTTCTTCCTTTGGCTGCCATTTGGGGTGCAGGCTGGGAGCGGGGGCCCACCACACAGAGTGTCCTACCGCCATCCCCCCCTCCTTTTCCATGTCTCCCTGGATGCCTCCAGGTGTTCTAGAAGTGCCCCAGGAGGTCAAAAACCTGAAAGCTGTCCCCTCTCCTCCCCTCTCCCCATCCCTCGAGTAGGGGATCGACTGCAGAATCGACTCACCCCAATTGTTTTTCGGATCTACGAAAAGTTCAGTCAATCCGCATAGTAAGGATGAGCAACGTTTCACGGTCATCCTTGCATCCTTCCCCTTCGGCCCATCTTTGGCCGCTTTCGCTGACCGCGCCTCCCCTCCCTCCTCTCCTTTCCCTTCCTCCTCCCTCCCCCTCCCTCCTCTCCCTCCCCTCCCTCCCCTCCCTCCTCTCCCTCCCTTCGTCTCTCCCCTCCCTCCCCTTCCTTCTACCCCTCTCCCGGCCGAGCAGGCGGAAACGACAGTTCGGGCAGCGCGGCACCTCGCCGCACTCGGCGGTCGTCGTCGCGCATCGTTTGCGTCGTCGTCCTTGGCCTCGTCGTCTCCCGAGGAGGAGAGGGATGTGGAGGAAAGGGGGGAGGAGGAGCAGGAACAGGAGCAGGAGCAGGAGCAGAAGCAGCAGGAGGAGGAGGAGGAGGAGGAGGAGGAGGAGGAGGAGGAGGAGGAGGACAAGGTCGGACTGGGAGCGAGGAGGGAGGGAGGAGGGAGGGGGGATGAGAAGGAGCCCCCCCTCCTCCTGCTCTCTCTCTGTGATCCTCCAGGCCAGGCGGGGGGGGCTGGCGGAAGCAGCACCGGGCGCCAGCTGGAGCAGAGCCTCCCGAGGACAGATACCTCGAGATGGAGAAGCAGAATTACCGGAAGATGCTCGAGCGCGAGGTGAAGGAGAAGGATCGCCCTCCTCTCGATAAATAATAATAACAATCATGAGAAGAAGACAAATACTACAACTAAGAATAATAATGCCAATCGTAATGCTAATACACGTATTAATAATACAACGAGTAATACCAATACGGCTAAGAATAAAAAGACTACGACTACTAAGACAATCATAATAATAGTACCAATGTGAAGAAGACTCATCATAATAATCATAACGAAACAAATAGTAAACAAACGCCATGAACAAACACTTTTGGGCGCTCCGCGTGGATTTCCTGGATCCGCGCTGGGTCCCCCCGTCGGCGGCTCTGGCGCCGCCCCTGGCGCGCTCCGCGCGCCAGGCAGGGGGGTCCAGCGCGGATCCAAGAAGTCTGCTCGGAGCGCCGACTGGCATGAGCGCCTCTCGCTAAGCCTCACATCTGCGAGAGCTGGAGACAGCTCGGGATGACATTTGAAGAGAGATCGGGTTCACGGTCGGCCCGCCATCTTCTTCCCCCCTCTCATTGTGGCCTTCGCCTTTGGGGGAGGGGGGGGGCAAAACAAAAACATCCAGGACGGAGGAGGTTTCAGACAGGGCCAGGACGAGGATAAATTCGTTCCAGGGCGTTCGGAACGCTCTGAGAAGGCCGCGACGCTTGAGACATCTTCCAGAGCCGCCGAATCTCGGAGATTATCGATTTATCCTCGCCCGATGTTGTCCTCGTCTTGATTTCGTCTTGATGTACTTCTTCCACACGTTTATTGGCCCAGTCTGGGATCCAGGACTCTCGCGAGGCCTGCAGGACCTCCGGGGGACCCCTGGAGGCCAACCGGGGGGGGGGCGTGTCTGGAGGCTGGCGCAGCTGTGCTGGCCACGGGCGTCCAGGGTTTGCGTGTTGTGTGTTTTGTGTTCCGCTCGGAGGAGGAGGAGGAGGATGAGGGCGAGGACGAGGGGGAGGAGGAAGGGTGGAAGGATGCGAAGGACCAGACGGGGAGGAGAAGTAGGAGGAGGATGAGGGAGTACGGAGGAGGACCAGGAGGAGAACGACGAGGACGCCACGCAGAGCTTCTGAAGACCAAACATTTTGAAAACCGATTGTTTCCACTACACGCATCGGGTGAACGTGAGACTCGAGTTCGCCGGTGCTCGGGCTTGCCGACGGGCGCGTCCTGCGTTTTGTGACGCTCCAGTGTTCAGGGCATGCCTGCACCTGGACCTCGCGTCAAGCTACCGTTACGGACTGGGTCTCGTCACCTTCCTGACGGCCCCCTTCAGGCGGACCCGGGGCCCCCGAGCCCGAGTCCTGCGTCTCCTCGATGCCGGCCCGGCCACGCGCGCGCCCCGACGGGACGCGGGGCCCAGGCAGAGAGGACAGCAGGCGGCCGAAGACGGCGACGAACCGCGACAGCGAGGACGACGACGACGGACCAACGGGCGCAGCAGCGCGAGAGAAGGCGGCGACAGACGACGGCAGCGGCAGCCGCACGCAGGAGACCAAGGAGGAGCTCCTGAAGATCACCGCGAAGGCCCAGAAGGAGCAGCTGTCGGTCTACAAGGACAAGAAGTTCAAGGAGATCGAGGAGGAGATGCTGGAGGGCGAGCTCCTGAAGCGAAAGGCCGCGCAGGACTTCGCGTCCGAAAAGGAGATCGAGGTAAAGAGGCGGCCGAGGGGGCTCGATGCATATACCACATCGTGTGGTCGGCCAAGGATCCAACGAGTTCGGCGAAGGAATTCAGTGTATAGACGCTCCTGCTTCCCACAGGCTGCGAAGCTGGGGTGTCCATATATCGAAGACCCAAAATGATTACAAATACATCACTTCACGGAGGTCCGCGCGGATTTCTTGGATCCCTCGGCGGCGCCTCCGGTGCCCCCCCTGGCGCGCTCCGCGCGCCAGGGAAGGGGGGCAAACGCCGATCCAAGAACTCCTCGCGGACCTCCGAGAACTTGTGCTTATGCCGTTGTTCGCCCCTCCGGCATGCCGAGCTCCTCGATCGGAGGGAGGCAGTTTGTGTTTGGGCTTCGAAGCCCTCCAGAAAATTGCCAGAACGGTAGGGGGAAACAATTAGTGTACACTCGCCCGCCCCCCGAAAACTCAAAGCTGGTACACGCGGGGGAGACTGCGGTCGAAGTGCAACGTATCAGACCCACCGCCAACTTTGAGTATCGGGGGGAGGGGAGGCGTTGACCGATGAGTGTGGCATGCGTGCTCGCCACTTTTTCCGAGGCCTGAATCGCCAGGCCAGGTCCGTCTGCTGTGGTGGCAGCAGTTCCGGGCAGTGAAATTAGGGCGGGGGGAGCGTCCACTTGAACACGTCATTGAATCAGGCCCCACTAGACCCAGCCTCGCCAACGCCCGACCCGAGCTCCTCGTGCTCCTTGGCCGACCAGGCGGCGCGGTGCATGCTCGGAGCCCCTCACAGGCGGGAGCAGGCCGTGCAGGCGGTCAGCCAGACTCAGCAGGCGAACCAGTACCTCAAGCAGCTGAAGGCGGAGGAGACGCTCAAGGAGAAGAGGGAGGAGCAGAAGATCGAGGAGTTCGCCATGAGGAAGGAGAAGATGCTGGCCCTCCGCAAGAAGAAGGAGGAGGAGGTGTTCAACGCGAAGCAGGCCGCCAGGGCCAAGATCATCGACCAGCAGGCCGCGCGCCTGGCGGCCATGAGGGACACGGAGGACCTCACCACCCACCAAACCACCCCAGCCCAACCCGAAGGCTTCAATTTGCCCTCCGTTTCCAGTGTGGGGGGGTCCACTGAACAAACACGTGTGGAACCCGTTTTGCCCCCAACCCGAACTTCGGGTCTTCGGGTTGGGTTGGGGTGGTCCTTTAAGTAGTCAGGACCAGCGCATCGAGAGGCAGGTGCAGGAAAAGGAGGACTCGGACAGGCGCAAGCTCCAGGAGAAGGAGGAGCTGCGGAGGAATCGGGGCGGACGAAATGGTAGGATACTCTGGGTTTCTGAATAAGCGTGGGGGGGTACCCCCCGACGGGGGTCAGCCTCGCCTCGTCGTCGCGCCGCGACGGGGGTTGGATCGCCTTCGGCGCGCGGTGGCCGCCCGCGACGGGGGTCGATGTGGGGCTGTCGGCGGGGGTGACGCCCCCCCCCCCCGACGCTTCTTAAGAAACTCGGAGTAGGGAAAGGGGGGATTACGACATCTGCTGCATGCAGCTGGTGTCGGCCCCGCCGCTGGGCCCCCTCCTCGATACATGGGCGCCTCCAGGCGCCCAGAGGCGCCAGGAACCTTAGCTTTCGTGAGCGGAGCCCCTACCCTACCCTGTGGTACCCTGCCCTTTCGCCCCCCCCCCCCCCCCTCCCGAAGGAAGTGGGTGGCCGACATCGAGAAGAGCAGGATGGCGCAGATCGACCGCAAGCGCAGCCAGCGCGAGCGGGAGAGGACCGAGGACGCGGAGACCGCCGAGTTCTTGCAGGAGTGGTGCAAGGTGCTCGACCGACAGGAGGCCAACGAGGTGGCCGTGCGGAGGGAGGCGGCGGCCATGCTGCAGGCCGTATTTGTTTGTGAGGGGGAGGGGGTGGGCTTGGAGCCGTCTGGGTGTCTGAGGTTCTGGTTGACCCAAGACGGGGTCCAGCGACAAGGGTGTGGTGCAATAGGTTTGGTGCAATCGATTTGTGATGTCGCGTCAGGTTTGGGGTGTGCAATACATTCTGGGGCGCAGATATATTGCTGGATTTTTACGTGCAATACAATTAGAGACCCATGCCAAGTAACACCTTGCTTGCCTCCAGGGTGCCCCGCGTTTCTTGGGTTTCGAGGGTTTGCTGTGGAAAGCGTGACGTTCCCAGACCAAAAATCAATGGACGTCCTGGGGTCTCAGGGTTGGGCTTCTTGTGGAAGGTTTCTTGTGGACTGGCCTCCACTGTACTGTACATCTGGTTGCAGTACAAAGCAGCACAGTTCTCTGGCGCAGTACATTTGCAATGCAACTTTTGGGAACGAAGATTGACATAAACATAACAACTCGGAGGCCCGCGCGGATTTCTCAGATCGGCGCTGGACCCCTCTCCCTGGCGCGCGGAGCGCGCCAGGGGCGACGCCGGAGGCGCCGCCGGGGGGGTCCAGCGCCGATCCGAGAAATCCGCGCGGTCCTCCGAGTTTTTAGGTTTATGTCATTCTTCGTTCCCCCAAACTTCCCCGAATCCAGCGCACCACCCCCTTTCAGCTGGGCCCCAGTTCAGGCCACGCGGAGAAGGTGGCCCCGCACCGGCTCCGGCCAGCAGGTACAGGGCGGGCAGCCTCGAGGTCCTGGGCTCGGGGAGGCGCCCTGCCTTTTTCGGCCTCCGGGGGCCGCCTTCGTGCCCCTAGAGAAATCGGGCCCCTTTCGGAATCACGCAGACACAATTCATCGTATATCCCCCAGACAATATGGGAAACTATGGGATGTGGGGGGGAACACAAAAACCGAGAAAATATGTGGGAATCCTGTTATTTGTGTCTATTTATTTGTGTGTCCCAGGGCCCCTTCCAAAAAGAAAACGGATCCAGGGTGAAAAACAATACCAGGCGAGCCCTGGGATGGGTCTGGAGACAGCTTTTGTCGGACGGGGCTAGGAGACAGCTTTTGTCGGACGGGGCTAGGACAATGATAGAATCCGCTCAAGAGCGTTGCGTTCTGGAACGTTTTCAGAGCGTTCCGGAATGCTCTGAGGCCGCGGCACCCGATACATCCTCCAAAGCCGCCGGATCTCAGAGATCCAGGCCGTCTCGTGGGGGGGTCCAGTGACGTCACGTTTCGCGCCGGCGGCATCGGAATGCTTAGGAATTGCCGAAGACGGGTAGGAGCAGCCTGTAGGTGGTGATCTGCACCACAGCGCCTGTGTGAACCACGGTGCCTGCGTGCACCACAGCGCCTGTGTACACCACAGCGCCCATGTGCACCTCAGCAGCCGCGTGCAACACAGCTCGAGTGTGCGCCTGCGTGCACCACAGCGCTTGTGTACACCACAGCGCCTGCGTATGCCACAGCAGCCGTGTGCAACACAGCACCTGTGTACACCACAGTGCCTGCATGCACCGCAGCTCCTGTGTACACCATGGCGCGTGTGTGCACCACAGCAGCTGTGTGCAGCAGAACACCATTGTGGTATATAGGGGTTGAGGATGATTCCGCAGGAAACAAGTATCTTTTCCAGTATTTGGACAGGAATCCTTACGGAAATAAGAGCGCCTCTGGATTCCACGAGTCCTCCCGAGGAGGAGGAAGAGGAGGAGGAGGACGAGGAAGAGGAGGAGGAGGAAGAGGAGGAAGAGGAGGAGGAGGAGGAGGAGGAGGAGGAGGAGGAGGAGGAAGTGCCGTGCCTTGGGGACCAGGGCGCGCATAGAGACAGGGGCGGCGTCCACCTGAAGGAGTTTGGTTGGAGCGTGGGGCATTGTGGCATGGCACTGGCGCTTCATGGAGCGAGCGCTTATATTTTTCTTGCCCTTTACCACTCTGCGGTGCACACTGAGATGCGCACGTTCGCCTTAGCGCCGACCCGCACGACAGTGAGAAGGGTGAGGGAGGAGGAGGAGGAAGAGGAGGAGGGGGAGGAGGAGGAGGAGGAGGAGGAGGAGGAGGAGGAGGGAGGAGGAGGAGGAAGGGGCGGGAGGGAAAACATCGCATTCGATTCTCAGCGCTACCCTTGCGTGGTGTTTAGTTGTCCGCAGCAGATCCTCACCTACGTGCTCCTTCAACCTGTCCTGTGCACGCAAGCGCTGTGGTGTACACTGGTGCTGTTGCGCGCGGAAGCTGTGGTGTACGCAAGCATTGGTGTACACAGGCGCTGCGATGCACGCGGTAAATGTGGTGTACACTGGTGCTGTGTTGCAAATGGTTGCTGCGGTATACACATTCGGTGTGGTGTGCACAGACGCTGTGGTGCACGCAAGCACTGTGGTGTAAACAGGCGCTGCGTTGCATACGGGTGTTGTGGTGTACGCAGGCGCTGTAACGTGCACGCGCGCTGTGGTGCTCGCGAGCATTGTCGTGTACACAATCGCTGTGGTACAGATCGCCACCGACATGCTATTCCTACCCGTCCTCGGTCATCCCTAGGCATTCCCGGACGCCGCCGGCGCAGCACGTGACGTCAATTGGGGGGGGGGGCGGGGCAGGTGACGGCCGCTAGTGCGAAAATAGAAAAACAGGTTCCTCACGATTTACTTTCATTCGATTTTATCCTCGTCGTGGCTTCGTGTTTTTTCGAAAAGATTTGGTCTCACTGCTGACTGATTTTCTGGGGCCCCAGCGGGTTCGGGCCCCCCGCCGCCTCGAAGGTGGTGTGCTGGGATGAGCACGCGCTGTGCCATGGCTTATCCAAATTTGCACGTGCTTAGAAGTGGGCCTGTGATCTGCACACAAGCCACCGCCACACTACTCGCAAGTCAGTTGTAGCCACATGGGAGGCACTGCTAGGGTAGCCATCACATAACATCTTTCCGTCCATAGAAAGGGTGTTCTCTTGCAGGATGCCGCGAGGAAGCGGTCGGCTACGTTGTTTGTGTGTTTTCGGTGAGTTTCTGGTTTCAATTTCAAACTGATGCATCTATTTATGGCCTTCGTCCCATTCCGCCACCGTGCGTGGGTTGTGGGTATGATGCTTATTGGATGTTCGTTTGGATCTCATAGGGGGCCTTTGGGGGGCCTCTTGGAGCGGAAGGCTCGGATTTTCGGATCGTGTTCCCTCTCTTGGTCCCTTTTGGCTTCGTCTTGGGGCCCTCTTGAGCCGTCTTGGGCGCCTCTTGGGCTTTTTTTTGCGCTCTGAGGCAGTCTTGGGGCCCTCTCGGGGACCTCTTGGGCCGTTTCGGGGTGGTCTTCGGGGCCTCTTGGGCCGTCTTGAGGGGTCGGAAAGCCGACAAGGCGAGAGCGCCCAAACCTTTCAAACACCAACAGGGGATCAATGATTTTTGCCTCTTGGAGGCCTCTTGGAGGCCTCATGGTGGGCCTCTTGGAGCCCTTCTGGGCCATCCTGAGGCCGTCCTGGGCTTCTTGGAGCGATCTTTCGGCGACTCGGGGCCCGCCTGGTCCGTCTTGGGGGCCTCTCGGAGCCCGTCTTCGGGCCCTCCTGGTGCCGCGCGCAGAAGTCACGCGGGGAGACGCGCCAGGGCCCGGGGGGGCACGCACAGGAGCCCAAGAGGCAGAGGCAAAGCTTGGGGACCAAGGCGTTCCCTGATACAACGAAGCAGGGTGCGAAGCCCCGGGAGGAGCATTCTAATTGAAATTGCACTGTGCGCCTGGCATGGGGGGATCAGCAACCATTCCTTTTGGACGTGAGATTTCAACGGCTCCCGCCTGCTTCCGCACATGTCTTTCAGATTCGCACACTCGCGGTGGACTTCTTGCAACTTAACAAGAAATGGCGCCCTCGCGTGAGACTTGCTCCACATTGTTTAATACGCTGCGCCATCGAACTCAGGCATCACGCTCTCGCTTTGGACGCCCTGCCAGTTCACTAGAGACTTCCTTCTATTCAGCATGACTGATGCTTCAGCGGCCCGCCCACTTGAGCCGGCCATCTGGGTCCGCTTGCCCGACCCGTCCGTTTGGGCCCACCCGCCCGACCCGTTCGTCTGGTTCTGCCGCTTGTTTTCCTGCTCCTACCCCCCCTGATAGTCTCTCTCGTGCTCCAGCCTTATCTCTCCCCCCCTTGTCTCTTACCTCCTTCCTTTCTTCCCTTGTTTTGTTAGGGGCTGCGCCAACTACACGTGGCAGGTATGTGAGATGTACACCCAGTGGGGGTATGATCGAAGACGGAGAGGGTGGGCATTGTGGGTTCGGGAGTTGATACGAGCGAACAATTTTGAAATTGTTGACGCTTCGCGAATCCCCACCAGCTCACTCCGCCCTCTGGACTTCTCCTTGCGGGCCGCGAATCAAAACAATAATCCCCACCAGCCCATCCAGACACGATGCCCAGAGGAATTGTCTCGATCAGGGAAGCGGGCAGCACACAGAAGAAGGGTCCCCCAGTGGAGGCTTCTTGGAGCGTCTTGGGGGCCTCTTGGCGGTCCCGGACGCCTCTTAGAGCGTCTTGGGTGCTTCGGAGAGCTTCTTGGGGCCTTTTGGGGGTCTCTTGGGAGCCTCTTGGAGGCCTCTTGGGCGCCTGTTGGGGCCTCCTGGGGTCTCCTGGACGCCTTTTGGGGCCCTCTTGACGCGCACTTGGGAGCCTTGGGAGCGCTCTTGGAGCCCTCTTGGGCCATCTTGGAGCCATCTTGACGCCTCGGCGAGAAAGCCAAAAACATTGATTTCCCGAAGAATTTGGACGGATTTTGGCCTCTTCGGGGCCTCCCGGGGGAGCTCTTCGGCCACTTGGAGCCGTCTTGGAGCGGTCTTGGGGCCTCTTGGAGCATCGTGGGCGCCATCTTGAGGCATCTTGGGATATCTTGAGCCGTCTTGGAGATCATCTCTGGCTCTCCCAGGCGCTCTTGGAGTCATCTGAAGCAGTGCTCCCCCCCAGGAGGCCAACATGTGGCCAAAACCTTAGTACAATCAACGATTTTGGCATTGTCGCCAAGGCCTCTTGGAGCGTCTTGGGTGCCTCTTGGGTGCCTCTGGGGGGCCTCTTGGAGGTCTCTTGGAGGTCTCTTGGGAGCCTCTTGGGGGCATCCTGGGGGCCTCCTGGGGGCCTCGTGGGGCTTCCTGGCCACCTCTTGGGGCCCTCTTGGGGCACCCTTGGGAGCCTCGGGGGCCATCTTTGGGCCATCTTGGGTGAGATCGATCACAGGAGGGGGGTTACCAATTACAGCCCACCCCCAGGAGGCCAAAATGGGGCCAAAACCTTAGTAACATCAATGAGTTTGGCTTCCTCGCCGAGGCCGTTCTGGACGCTCCGACGACTCGCGACCCCCCCCCTCCACATCCAGGGGAGGAGGCAGGGGGAGGGGTAAACCACTCCCCGAGGGGGAGGAGGGAGGGGTGGAAGAGGAACCTTCCTAAACCACCTACGCCCAGAGGGCTGGTGGGATTATTGTCTGTTGTTGCTGTGCTGTTGTAAAGCGGTTTTTGCTTCCGGGGGCGCATCAGCTAAGCTGTCTCACTTTCCACTGCACGCTCCTCCGCCTTGCAGGCCGAGCACAAGAAGGCGTGCGAAATCTCCCGCCGCAAGAAGGACGAGGAAAAGAGGCTCGAGGTGGGCGTGAAGACGCAGGCCAAGAAGGCTATTGAGTCCGACACCGCGGAGTTCCACCAGTACGCGGAGGACATAATCCGCCAGTACGCGGCCGACGGCAAGAACGTGATCGAAGATACCTACGGCGAATCACCGCCGACCCTTTCATCTTGGAAGCGCCTATGCGGCCCAACGTTGCGGCCAGAGCTCGGCCAAGCTATCGTTCTACGTCTCCCCCCAGTCCCAGCCGTTCTGGAAACCCTGGGGGACCACATGGGGGAGAAAGAAAAAGTGGAGGCGAGGGAGGCGAAAGGAGGAGGAGGAGGAGGAGGAGGAGGAGGAGGAGGCCTTTTGGGGCACTCTGGGGCCCCGTGAGAGCTCCCTGGAGGCCTCTTGGAGGCCGATTGGCGGCTTCCTTGGTCCTCTGGGGTGGGGGGCCTTTGGAGCCTCCTCGAAAAGCTCTTTGGGTCTTTGGCCGTCTGAGGACGTTCCTAGCCCGTCTGACGCCGTCGGAAGGCGTCTTGGGGGCCTCTCTGGGCCGACTTGGGCCCCTCCCCGGGTGCTGCAGGGCCGTCTTGGAGGCCTTTTTGGGCGTCTTGAAGGTCTCATGGGTCGTCTCGGGGTCCTCTGGGGGGCCTTGTGGGCTGTCAGGGGGCAATCTCGGATGCCTCTTGGGCGCTCTTTGAGTCCTCTTGGTGGCTTCTGGGGCCGTCTCGGGCCGTCTCGGGCCGTCGGAAAGCCGAGCATGAGCAAACGTCAGAACCCTGTAATCACATATGGAAAACCAATGACATTGGCCTCTTCGGGCCTTCCTGGAGGTTCTCGTGGAGGCCTCTTGGGCCATCAGGAGGCCTCTTGGGCCGTCTTGGGTAATCTTGAGGCCATCTTGGGGCCATCTGCAGCCATCTTGAGAGCATCGCGGCCATCTTGGCCGTCTTGAAGGCCATCTTGGGGCTTCCTTGTGCGGGAAGACCGACGACCTGGGAAGCTCACGGGTCCTTGTTCCGTGCCGGCGCAACAGGCCGAGACCCCACTGGACATGTCTGAGAGGACCAGAACTCTACCTGACGTCTGGCACGCCGTGCACCCCCTTGTGGCAAGACACGGTGGGGCGGCGGATCTACTGGCCTTCGGCCCATCCCGCTGCCGTGCCATGGGTGTCGGTCAGGGGCATCTTGGCTGCCCGCGGGGATCTCTTGGGAGGCTTCTCGGAAGCCTGCTCGAGGGGTCTCCTGGGGCCTCCCGGGGGCTTCCCGGGGCCCGCTCTGGACCTCCTGGGGGCCTCCTGAAGCCTCTGGCGGGCATCTCGGGCGCACTCCAACTCGTGCCTCGAAACACGACGGCGGATCCCTCTCATCAAGGACCTGCGCGACTTCCGCAAGCGCTCCGAGCAGTGAGCCCTCCGCCGCGGCCCTCGCCGCAGGCGGCGACCCCGGCTTCTCTGCCGCAGGCCCTGCCTTGTCACGAGCTCGTGCATTCACCGAAGTGCTCTCTTCGCACACCCGGGTCTCGTGTCTCGGAAAACGTCGTCGTCGTCGTCGCCGACGTCGGCGTTGTCTGTCGTCCGTCGTCCGTCGTCCGTCGTCCGTCGTCCGTCAGTCGTCGTCCGTCGTCCGTCGTCCGTCGTCGGCGTCGGCGTCGTCGTCGATCTCGGGCGCCTGGGGGTGCCGGTCGCTTCGGGGCCCTGGCCCCATCCCTTAAGAGAGCGCCGACCGTGGCCAGAGAGAGAGAGAAAGGCGGGCCCTCCGGGAAGGGGTCTCGAGAGAGCTCCGCGGGCCAAAAACGACTCGTAGGTAAGAGGTCCTCCCTCCTCCGTCCTCCCTCCTTTCTCCATCCACCCTCCTCCTCGTCCTCCTCCTCCTCCTCCTGCCCCTCCCTCTCCTCCCCTCCTCCTCCTCCTCCTCCTCCTCCTCCTCCTCCTGCCCCTCCTCCTCCTCCTCTCCTTCTCTTCCTCCTCCTCCTCCTCCTCCTCCTCCTCCCCTCCTCCTCCCTCCTCCTCCTCCCCCTCCTCCCCCTTACTTCCTCCTCCTCCTCCTCCTCCCGCCTTATCTATTCCCCCTCTCCTCCTCCTCCTCCTGCTCCTCCTCCTCCTCCTCCTCCTCTCCTCCTCCTCCTCCTCCTCCCCTCCTCATCCTCCTCCTCCTCCCCTTCCTCCTCCTCCTCCTCCTCCTCCTCCTCCTCCTCTTCCTCCTCTTCCTCCTCTTCCTCCTCTCAAGTTATTTGCGGCGCGAGGGAGCTTTCTGGGAACAGGTTTCCCGCCCGCACGGCGCTCGCGCGTACCGTGCGTGGGCGGACACCAGCATGTCCGCTACGCGCACCCGCGGCTTGAAGGGCGCCCTCTCAGGCGGCGAAAGTCGAGTGCTGCACAATTTTGTGGTTTTGATGGGCCGCAGTGGGAGTGCACGGGCTAAGAGCAGAGATGACTCCAGGCCCCCTTTCACGCACGGCAAGCGTCGGCAGGCGTTTTTTGTGTGCCGTTCTTGTCCTGGGTTTTAGGTGTATTGCAATCGTGCTGGCACTCCAGGAAGGGAATGCTCTCGCACTTGCCGAGTCCCGTGGCCCAAGCAGTCTGCCAAGAAAGACGTGTCTTTCGCCATCGAGGACGGAGCCGGCTCCAACTCCAGCCTCCTCGAGCAATTGCTCTCGAAGTACACGGAGGCGCTCGCGGACGAGCAGTTGGACGCGGTCAAGGCCATGGAGTTGCGTGTGATTCGCAGCCACCACCTCCACCCAGATGAAGGGACCCACGAACAATATCAGGTGCTCGGCGCCCTCCCCGAGAGTCATCTCGACCACGACGCCGAAGCCCTCGAGAAGCACCCAGCTGGAGCATCACGATGCCGCCATGGCTCGGCCGAGCTGCGCCCCTTTGAGGTGCGCTCGGCCACCCTCGAACCCTCGAGGCGAAAGGGGTAGGCGGAGGAGGAGGAGGATGAGGAGGGGAGGAGGAGGAGGAGAAGGAGGAGGAGCTTGAGGAAGAGGAAGAGGGATAATAGGAGGAGGAGGAGGAGGAGGAGGAGGAGGAGGAGGAGGAGGAGGAGGAGGAGGAGGAGGAGGGACCCGCACGGCCCTCGATCAGAAGCCCTGGCCCAGGGTGAGGGCCATATTTCCCGAAGATTTCGGCGCTTTCGCAGTTCTTCCGAAGAGACGCGCGATGGCAGGAGGCTGGCATGACGCGTCTGTCTGGAAGTGCACGCACTGTGGTTGCGGCAAGACACCCTTCAGCGAGCACTGGTGCAAGCACTGTGAGCGGCACTGGAAGACGGGCAAGAACAAGAAGCCCAAGGGCAAGGGCCGTGACCTGGGCTCTCCACCTGGGCTGGATGGTCGCGCTCCTCTTCACGGTCCGCCCATTCAGCCAGGCCTCGTCCAGGCCTGCTCAGACCCAGTACCTGAGCTCACGGTGCCAGAGTTGCAGCAACTGGTGCAGCTTGGAGAGAAGAGCAAGAACAACCATATGGTCGAGTACTACCAGCAAGTGCTGGCCATCAGGGACAAGCAGCACGTGCCGCCGCAAGTCAGAGCATATCAGGCACAGAAGTGCATCAAGCAGCTGGAGAAGGACCTCAGCACCGAGTCCGCCCAGCTGAAGAAGTTACCTAAGCAGGTCATGGGCCAGGAGGCAAAGGTCACCGCGCTCCTGGACCAGATCGAGAAGCATGAGGGCATCTACACAGAGGCGATCAAAGAGCTGCACGCCGTCGTCGTGCCGCCCGTGGACGTCCCGCAGGCGCCGCCGACCCTCAGCCTGGAGGCCATGCTGGAGGTGAAGCAGGAGTGGGCACTCTCGTGCGGGGAGGACCTCTTCGGCCTGGCGGAGTTCGTGGATGTCGGGGAGACAGACAAGGAGGAGGCGCGCAAGCGCGAGGCTGAGCTCAAGGAGCAGTTCCAGACGCTCGCTAAGGCGATGTTTGGAGATCTCAAGAAGAAGGCGGAGCAGTACAGGAAGGAACGCGAGGAGCTCAAGTCTCGGCTGCAGTCGAAGCGGCGCCGCCAGGAGCCTGCGGCGCCTGAGGCTGCAGGGTCCGCCCCGCCAGCGCTGCCAGGCGCAGGCGCGGAGCCCGCCGAGGGCAGCCCACGGCCTGGCGCGGCTGAGATGCCTGCGCAGCCTGGCGCTGCGGCGTCGGCGAGGGAGCTTCGTGCCCACGCGAGGCGCCTGGTGGGTTCCCAACCGATCCTCGGGAAGGGCCCAGGCGCCGGAAAAGGAGGTGGGGGGGCTCCTGCGTCAAGCCCGCCGAGTGTTTAACAAGGGCGGCGAGTCGCTGCCCACGAGTACCAGTCGAAGCAGTTCATCTTCCACGGCGTGGGAGTGCAGGGTCATGAAGACCAACGTTTCACAGTCTGAGAAGTCAGCGGCTGACGAACGTTGGAAGCTGAGCAGTTGTCCTGCTGACCAGACGGCCCTGGGGGGCACCTCAGCAGGAGGAGCAGTAGGAGTTCGACAGCACATATGCGTCAGTGAAGTTGCAGGTGGAGCACGGCGCCTTCACCAGGTGCGTTCAACGACTGTATGGGTCAATGGGTGCGTGCGTGGTGGTTTCTATGTGTGCACGCTGTGCGTTCCTGACGGAGAAGGGGTCCAATGAGCTAAGGGTAAACAACTGCTAAATCAGCTGGGGGAGTTTATCCACAGTTCTCAGAGGCCGTTTGCGATTGCAGCAGTCTGGGACGACGTGCCCTCGGAGGTCCAGAAGTTGCCTGTCTTGGGAAAACTCAGAGCCGTTGTAGTCAATTCGGGGGTGCCGACGTGTCGAGTAGGCAAAGTGTGGCGTGAACTTGACTACGCTGTCGTTTCGCGCGACCTTGTGGGGGGAAGTTCGGGCGTGCGTCAGGCGAGTGGATTCCAGTAACATGACGCACTATCCAGTTTCACATAGGCTAGATCCGATGGCACATCAGAGGACACAGAGGGTGCTGAAGGTGCCGATGGCGTTTCCGCTAGATCAGCCCTCAGGTCCAGCTCCTCCGCCGCAGGACTGGACAGTTTTCGAGGGCGAGTTTGAACGGCTGCGACGACAGCCATCGGGTACGGAGTTATCACAGCTTTATGGGGAGATGTGTGACTCCACGGAGCGGGGCTGAGCGACGTGCTAGGCATCGAGGCCGTTGTGTGTGGGAAGTACTGCGGGAAG